CTCCATTCAACCTCGCCCAGTGCCAACGCCACGGTCCTGTACCGGTTTGAAGTGCAGGTCTTGCTGATTGCCTATGGACGGTGTGAGTTGGCGGGCGCCGACAGCAAGCAAAAATTGGCTAATTAAATCCGGTGTATACTGGGAACTCTGCTCTGAAGCACTCGGCTGCGAAGATGCGGTGCAACTGGCAGCACCTTCGAGTACCGTTGTGCGCAAGGCGTTGGCAGAGGAAACTAAGTTCTCCAGCTGGGGAAGGACATGGCAGAAAGGGTAGTGATCTGAAGCTTGAACTTCGCCACTGTCGACACGTGCGTGGCCAAACAGCTCACGACTGTTCGTGCGCGAACCTTGTCCCGCAAAACAAAGGAAACTTCTCCGATACAGATCAGCCCAAGGTCACACCCATCATAGCTGCCCAGGCAAACTGGCTCAGCCAGTCGCCAATTTTGTCTCCACAGCCTGCAGTCAGTGAGCCTACCTGGCTGGGAGCCTCAGCTCTTGGCCATTGATGGGCGGGTGGCAGTAGAACGGCAGATGATTGGCGCCCAGGTGAGAACCTCAGTTCTGTGTCCACAACATCGGTGGGCCACGCTCCCTGGCGTGGGGCAACATGAGGCTTTGAGCGCACCAAAGGCGAGCGAAGGAAAGCCAAAGACCAGCACTCACACCAGCGCGTCATTCACTGTGTTCTCGACCAGCACATTGGTCACGAGATAGGGGCTTATGTCCAAAATGTCTCCTCCAACAGCTCCTGCAAGCATTTCCTCTTCTGGAGGAACGTCGCCCAGAAGGACGATCAACACACCTCCTGCCCGCTTCAGCACTGGTATGGCTGTGGCTGTGCGATCTGGCAGGCCTAGACGTAACCACTCAAAGTTCCTGTCCACCCCTGCAACTTTCAAACTGTGTCACCAGCCAGATGGGCACATGCGGCCCTGCAAAGTCAGAAGTGATTACCGAGAGGCTAGCGGGCGAAAAGGTACAGGGGCAGATTTTTGTTTTGGATCATGGTGGGGAGGGTGCTGGCTCCAAGCGCTTGTTACTGACCATGTCGGTAGCCAGCCAAGCGATCCTCTGCAACAACCGCCGGCCTCTCCAAGCCAGCCTATTCTTCAACCAAAAGGGCCTCACGCCACCGCCAGGGCAAAAAAGCAACCACCAAAGAGACCCCCAAGGACGCAGCAAAGGATGCCCCAAAGGAGGAACTATGCAACATGGGGGCCACGTGGTGACCAAGCTATCTAAGATCCCTTCCCACATGAACAAGAAATGATCTTCCAGGAAAGTATGAAGGACATGCTCCTAGTGGTGTCCAGGATGCTTAAGGGAGTATCACTGAATCACGGACTATCCGAAATCCTTGAAGCGGATCAAAATCCCTCTGCAATCTTCTGCAGCTCCATCGCCCAGCAGATTCATATCACTAGGGGCGGAAGACGTGCATGGTCACCATGGGGTGGAAATCCACCACGGACTTTTGATCCAGGTCTTCTTTGCATGGAGGGTTCATGGCTTCAGGGTCATCAGGTGTGATGGCCCAGGTATGGCGTGGCACCTGAGCCAAGCAAACTATGTCATATAGCTCGTGCCAGCAGCGTGCAAAAGAATGGAGAAAGATGTGAAGACATTGGAAAGGCTGTTGATGGCAGTTGCGTGGGCTGTCTCGAAAACACCCCAAGGAGCCCACGCGTGGGTTCCTTTTCACATCCGGACCTGGATCGGCAAGGAACTTGACACGAATGTCCTGCCGGCGTAGTTTCAGGCTGTCTCCACATACCACCCATTGACTGCATGCCTGGATCAATTCGTTCCTATCATATTTGACACATCCGTGGCGTCCTCCATACCGGCCACGCCTTTTAGCCCTTGCACGAAGGTCGCATCGCCACCGTTCGTCGAAGCTCAAAGTCCTCCAATGAACCCCTAGTCAAATGAAAAACGCTCCACTTTTCACAGTCTTGTCCTTCTGCATGATGTGTGGACTTTCCGGCTGTGTTGGGCTCATTGCTCTTTACATTAGCCGCATGCATTTGGTGTCACATTGCAATGTCACGATCAATGAGCACCTTCTGTTCCAAAGTAGAAACAACATGTCGCCGTGAAACAACTCGGCTAGCTGTCTTACATACACCGCTATGCGACTATGGACCTCCTACTTCTTCATATTCATACTCGTTCATACTCTCCCTCTTCCAATTTACAAGGAGTGTCCTCCAAGTCTTCAAGCTCTGGCAGTTCTGCCCCGGTTGTTGTAGCATCGCTGATCCCACGTTCAAAGCCGGCGTCTTTCTGCAACAGCTGGTCCTGCGCAAAACAAGCAACTAAAGGAAGCACAATAACTACCACAACTGCTAGACCTAGCCAATCTTCTTCCATGTGCTCAATTTTTCAGAGGGAGCCTCGAAATCATCGTGAAACATCTCTATGTTGCAAGACATCGCTTCGCGTCGAGTTCAAGGAGAAAGCAGCAACGGTCGAGGCCACAGCTACCCTGCACAAATTCCCCCACAAAATTGTTGAGAAAATGGCTATGGAGAAAGGATCAAAAAAGATCAAGGCTCATTGCGGAAGCCAGCGTTTCCCAAGCTCTACTCTACAGCGAGTCAGAAAAGTCTCACAGGACGAAGAAACGGAATCAAACTCATGAACGCTTCACAAGATGTCTCGATGTCTCGAACACTCTCTATGGTGACTCAGTTTCCTCACAAGAAGCGCGCTACTGCTCGTTCCGAAATTTCAAACCGTTCTCATCCCTAATTTAGGCGTGCAAGTCGAAGAATGATTTTGATAAGTTAAACCTAGCTAAGCAGCTAAACTCTTTACATGAATGCCATGCAGCCCCACATAGAAGGCAGCGGCGAGCAGCACTGCCAGAGCCGAGCTGGAGGGGTTCGCTTTGATCCAAGATCAAAAACACCATTCAGCTTCATCTTGGCAGACTGCTTCAAACATTGGGCTGGAGCGAAA